GCCCGCCCGCCCACCCATCCATCCATCCATCCATCCTCACGCAGGGCACCCAGCACCCCCGCTGAGCGCCAGCGTCCCTGCCTAGCAGCCATGTTGGGCTGCTGAGGCTTCCCGCAGGAAGGCATGGGTGAGTTCTCAGACCATGTATCCACAGCCAAGAGCAACACAATGTCGCCACCCAGTCGCTCTACAACTCTGAAACCCTAGTTACTCACAAGCATGAGATCTGAGCATCATAGTTTGAAGCCAGCCTGGGCAGGAAAGTCTGTGAGACTCTTATCTCCAATGAACTACCTAGAGCAGGACATGGAGCTGTGGCTCAAGTGATAGAGCACTAGTCTTGAGCACAGAAGCTCAGGGACAGTGCCCAGGCCCTGACGTCAAGCCCCGACTGGCACACGCACGTGTACACGCATGTGTGCATGCGCGCGCGCGCACACACGCACACGCACACATGAGGCTGGCCCTCAGAACCTCGCAGGGTGGGGCTGGGAAGGTGCCCCACCTCTCTCATCCCCGTTACCGCCCCACCCCAGCGCCCAGGCTCTCCCACAGGGAATCTGCGCCCCAGGCAGGGGGCAAGCCACCCCTTCCCTCGTGGTGGTAACAATGGCTGGTTTGGAGAGAGTTCCAAGGGAGCAAGAAATCACCATGCCTAGCCGAGCACTGGTGATTCACGCCTGTCATCCTAGCTACTCAGGAGGCTGAGGTCTGAGGATCACAGTTCAAAGCCAGCCCCGGCAGGAACGCCATGAGACTCTTATCTCCAATAAACCAGTCAAAAACCCAAAGTGGCTCTGTGAGTCAAGTGGTAGAGCGCTAGACTTGAGCTGAAGAGCTGAGGGACAGTGCCTAGGTCAAGTTCAAGCCCCAGGATCAACAACAACAACAAAAAATCACCATGCCAACACAATTGCCATGAAAATATTTATTTGTGGATAATCACGAAAGTCAACAGGACCATCACAAAACAGACATGATCATGGGCTCACGGCGCCCGAGTTTACAAACCCCACACAGGACAGCGCACAGAGTTGGGAGACACTGGCACAGAGGCCACCTGCGTGCGCCCGCGGGGGGCAGGGCCTGGCGCCCCTCCCAGGAGGCCCGCCAAGACCTGCCAGCACCCGGGCCTGCGGCAGCAGCGCCAGCTTCCCGCTGGTTTAGTTGTGCAATAATTGGACTAAACTCCAACTACAGGTCTACACTAGGAATGAAGCAGCTATGAGGCCAGAAGCTGTCAGTGTCCTTGCACACTTCACGCTTCTGGGGACTGTGCGAAACACAAGGAGAATTCACTCCCCTGCCAGAGCGGCTGAGCTCATCGGGACCATGGCTTCAGGAACTTGGTGTCTCCCTGACCACAGCTGGGGGTGGCTTTGTCTCCGCCTTCCTGCCACTCAGACACCCTGGGACGCTGCTGGGCCCAGTGAATCATTTTTCTGTTACACTGGCTGCCGCTCCCCAGCCCGGGGTCAGGCACGGGGAGCTTGGGTCTCCCAGCGGAGTGCCAGGGCACCGCCGCCCGCCCAGGACAGCCCAGCTCCGTGGGCAGGCCGTGCAGTGCAGCTGGGCTGGGGCCACACTGTCCTCTCTGTTTCCACCCACCTCTCCTTCTGCCCTCACTACTATTTCAGAAGCGGCCTGCGGGGAGGTGACGCACCTCCAGCCAGGGCACGGGCCCCAGGGCCTCCAGAATTTCCTACCCCAAGTGGGTGGCCTATTCCAGGAAGATGGGGAAGTGCCCTGTGGGGGGGTGCGGGGAGGGGCCGGCACGGCTCCGTGCTTCATCATGACTCTGCACTGGGGCCCGCCCCTTCCTCGCAGCCCAGGCCAGAGCTGAGATGGAACCAGAAACCTGCTCTAGGAACACAGCCTGGCTCAGACTGTGGAGAACATTAAAACCCTGCCCCGTTCTGCCAGACACTAAAATGAAAAACAAACAGGAAAACGCCTCTTTTGAGTATGTAGCCAAAGCCGGCCTGAGTGTTGACTCCTCCTCCCTTGGTCTCCCGAGCACTGGGATTACAGGGGTGTGTGCCTGCATCTGGAAATAGCTTTCGATTAGTAAAAAGCAAAAACAAAAAAACTTTGAAATGCCAAAGTAACTCATAATATTTTGAACAAATAAACACAGAGTTGTCCTGAAGGCTAAATATCGAGTAGAAAACATTACTTTTAGTTGGTCTTTGCACATTTAGAACAGAAATATCTTCACCAAGAACAGACTGCAGCCAACAGCGAGACCCACACACACCACCAAGCCCCACACCCAGCTGCCACGGTGGCCCGCCAGGGCTTCAAGGAGGAAGACAGAGGCACGGCCTCTTCACGGGGGGCATGGTGAGACCGCAAGCCTAGCTCCCACCGAACGGAGAAAGATTATGCTCCGAAGAACAAGTGATAACTGTTTCTCCAGAGGGGCTCTGCTGTTTTACTCATCGGCCTGGAGGACCACAGGGACTGGCCTCACCGCGACCTCTGCTGGTGGGGGCCAGAACTGCAGCGCTGGTGGCAGAAGCACCAGCGCCTGCCGGCCAGCGTGGCCTGGACCGGACACCTCTCCACACTGAAGCAGGCACACCACGTCCCACCACAGCGGTGGCAAACAGTGCTCCCCGAGCCGGGCCCTCGGGCAGTGCTCCTGCGCAGCCGGCCTGTGGTATCCATAGCCTGACATGCTTCTCTGAGAGAAAGGCTTCATGGGACTCGCACACAGCTGCAGGGGGGAGGCCCTGGGGCCTGGCAGCAAAGAAGCCGGGGTGGAAGCCCCAGCAGCCGCACCCTGCGGACGGCAGTGGGCAGGGGCCGTGGGGCCCCGCCAGGGCTTCGCAAGGCACTACCCCAGTCATGTCTCAAACTCCAGAGCCCCCCTCTGGGGCTAAGCACGTGCTTAGGGTCCTGAGCAGGTCCCTGCTGGGCAAGGAGGCTGCCAGAATGGCTGGGAGCGGGAGGGGGAGGGGCTCCTCCTCCGCAGTCCAGCCTGGTGACAGGGGCCTGTGGACCCCCACAGCCCCCGGCCCCGCTCGCTCCCTCCCTCGCTCACGCTCGGTGGCCTCCACCACAACCAAGTGACCTTTAAAACCTGGCTCTGACAAGCTTAAGGACACAAAGCAAAGCACTCTCCGCACAATCACTAACTTACACTGCAAAAATAAGAGACAGGAGTTACCTTGCAGGACTAAGCGTGACTCTAAACAGATCTTCTTTAAAGTAGTCCTCAGTTTCAACAGCGGGTTAAGGAAGGATGGAGCGCTTTCCGCTAAGGAAGCGGCTGCCTGCGCCCGCGCTCCTCGAGCTTCTGACTTGCTAGCTTGTGTTACCGCACCCAGGAGCCACGCCGGGTCCACAGCCACCTTCAAGGGACCCTCAACCCCAGGGCTGGGGCACCAGGGTCCCGAGACCTGCACAGCTCAGGTCCGCTTTCTGGGCAGGGGCTTAGGACCTTACACACACGGGACCAACGTTCAGCACTGCGCCTCCCACTTCCCCTGCTGCAGCTCCGTCCCCGGCTTGAGTCAGGAAACCAAGGCGCGCCGCACCACACGGCCCGGGACCCTTCCCCACCTCCCTGGAGATGTACACAGGCACTGCCCCCAGGCCTGTGCTTGGGGTAGGGGACGTCCCTCACCCATCACCAGTGGCCACATGCCACCCTGGCCACTGCGTGGTGTGGAAGGCCCCACGGAGGCGCAGGTGACTGTGGGCAGGAAACACAGGTCTGCTCTGCTTGGCAGCAGGGAACCAGCCAGCCGCAGCCAAGTGTGGACCCCGTGCGTTCAGGCGCCCAGGGGGCGCGGTCATGGGGGGAGGAGTGGGCTGGGCCCCAGGGACCAGCGCCTCCTTGCGTGTGCCACTTCAGACGCCAGATAAGATTCTCGTGTTCTTGCAGTGCTGCAGACAGAACCCAGGCCCTCACTGAACCCTGCCCTGGGCCGAGCCATACCCAGCCTGCTCCCAGTTCTTCACCTGGTGAGGCTGACTCCAGTGGGAAGGATACTTCTGAAGGAAGCAGATTTCCCAGGACCCGGGCATAGGGCTGCGGGGTGGGGGCAGACCAGAGCCAGGAAGTCCCACTTGTGGCCATGCCTGGTCCCACTGAGCAGTGGACAGCTGGACTTGTGTCCAGCGTACACTATAGCCTTCAATGTCGCAGCCTACTCTGGGGTCTGGCGGCTGCCCCACCCCAGGGTGACACATGTCCCCTTGGAAGACTCCCGAGGGGAAGAGTTGGCAGTGAGGGCCGCTGGCCCCGCACAGGACACACACGGGCTGGGAGTGAAGTATGCCACGCGGGCAGACGCCTCCTCCGCCTCCCTGCGGTCTACACACGCAGCGCCTCCACTCGACAACCGCAAGGCAGACTGGGAGCGTTTGGACAAAAACCTAACGCGGCTCCTCACGTCTCAAACCACCTGAGCAGCAGCAGCACCCTGTGCACGGGGTGTGTGAAGGCGGACACACTGACCAACCTGTCCTCACAGGGCCCACCTCGCGGACCGCACGTCCCAGAGACCCGGGGAGCAGCAATGAAGACGCGAGAATTGCAGCGGGCACAGGACAGGAGACGGGGTGACAATACAGGTATCTGGCGATCTCAGAATAACAGCCGAACACAAGGCCCCCCGGACGGCAGGCGTGGGTGCCCGCGGGACCCCAAGCCGGTCCACACAGCTGGGGCAGAGACCAGGTTTCCAAATCACAAATTTCTATGACAGCTTTGTGGATTTTTGGAAGAGCACAGTGGCACGTTTTCACAATTGAGACTAGCGGAGACCCGACACTCATGAAGGAACAATGTCAAGTTTAGGTCGTGGCTCTAAGGCAGACGTCAGGTGTTTTTCACAGGGATGAACATGAAGACACCGCCGCGCTGTGCGTCCGAGCGCGGCCCTCACAGCACCGTGGCCTGCACAACGATCTCAGGGTCCTCGATGTCCTTCTTGCTCTGGACCATCCTCAGCTCCAGCTGCGCCGGCCTGGGCTTCTGCCCTTCCCCGGCCTGAGCTTCAGGGCGCACAAGGAGTAGAGGGCACCGCTGGGAAGCCGGCGGGACATCGGCCCTCCTCCCTTCTCCCTGAACTCCCCACCTGGAAGGGCTCCACACCTCCCCCCACAACCCTAACAGCAGGGGGGAGGGCAGAGGGCCCAGGGCGGGGGAGGGCGGGGGAGGGCAGGGCCCCGGGCGGTACCTTGTGCATACTGCATGGTCCTCTGCAGAACGTGGTGCATGGCAGATACAGTCTTCTCACAGGCCACCTGCAGGAGGAGAGACGCTGTGCCCCGGCCTACCTGCTCTGCTCCTGGATGCCAGCCAGGGGGCCAAGGAGGAGCCGCCCACGGTGACACTCGCTCCTGCCAGGGCCGGGGATGGCCGCCACAGGACAGTCCTCCACAAAGATGTCGGCTGCTACAGGATTTTTGTTGTTATTGCTTTTGTGGGGAGGATCAATTGTAGGACTTGAACTCAGGACCTGAGTACTGTCCCTGAGCTTCTTTGTACTCAAAGCTCTACCACTTGAGCCACAGCAACACTTCCGGTTTTCTGGTGGTTAATTGGAGATTAGACTAGGCTGGCTTTTTTCAAACCTAGATCCTCAGATCTCGGCCTCCTGAGTAGCTAGGATTACAGGTGTGAGCCACTGGCGCCCGGCTCAAGTGCTAGTTCTGATGCAGAATGCACCCTGAGGTCCACGAGTCTTAGTCCTCAGGACATTGGGGCAAGTACCCTCTAAGGGGTTTCCTGTTTCCTGACCACCCAAAGGTGAACAGCTTCCTGTCCCATGTGTCCATGCCATAACACACTGCCCAGAGCAACAGGGACAGCGAGGACTGGCCAAACCCCGCCCCTCCTCAAACACATTGCCTCGGGTATTTATTCTGTTCCAGTAACAGAGAGCTAAGTGCCATGCAGAGCACCGGGCAGGTGTGCGCGCCGGGTAGGTGTGAGCATTACATGCTGAGCAGCGGTCAGGTGTGCGCGCTGGGCAGGTGTGAGCACCGCACGCTGAGCACCGGGCAGGTGTGAGCACCGCACGCTGAGCACCGGGTAGGTATGCACACCACACGCTGAGCACCAGGCAAGTGTGCGCGCCGGGCAGGTGTGCGTGCTGGGCAAGTGTGTGCGCTGGGTAGGTGTGAGCACCGCACGCTGAGCACCGGGTAGGTATGCACACCACACGCTGAGCACCAGGCAAGTGTGCGCACCGGGCAGGTGTGCATGCTGGGCAAGTGTGCGCGCCGGGCAGGTATGAGTGCCGGGCAGGTGTGAGTGCTGGGTAGGTGTGAGCACCGCACGCTGAGCACCGGGCAGGTGTGCGCGCTGGGCAGGTGTGAGCGCTGGGTAGGTGTGAGCACCGCACGCTGAGCACCTGGCAGGTGTGCGCGCTGGGCAGGTGTGAGTGCTGGGTAGGTGTGCGCACCAGGCAGGTGTGAGCACCGCACGCTGAGCACCGGGTAGGTATGCACACCACACGCTGAGCACCAGGCAAGTGTGCGCACCGGGCAGGTGTGCGTGCTGGGCAAGTGTGTGCGCCGGGCAGGTGTGAGTGCCGGGCAGGTGTGAGCGCTGGGTAGGTGTGAGCACCGCACGCTGAGCACCGGGTAGGTATGCATACCACACGCTGAGCACCAGGCAAGTGTGCGCACCGGGCAGGTGTGTGTGCTGGGCAAGTGTGTGCGCCGGGCAGGTGTGAGTGCCGGGCAGGTGTGAGCGCTGGGTAGGTGTGAGCACCGCACACTGAGCACCGGGCAGGTGTGAGCACCGGGCAGGTCTGAGCACCGCACGCTGAGCACCGGGCAGGTGTGTGCACTAGGCAGGTGTGAGAGCCAGGCTGGTGTGAGCACCAGGTGGGTGTGAGCGCCAGGCAGGTGTGAGTGCCGGGCAGGTGAGAACGCCAGGCTGGTGTGAGTGCCGGGCAGGTGTGAGTGCCGGGCAGGTGTGAACGCCGGGCTGGTGTGAGCGCCAGGCAGGTGTGAGCGCCGGGCAGGTGTGAGAGCCAGGCAGGTGTGAGTGCCGGGCAGGTGTGAGCACCGGGCAGGTGTGAGCGCCGGGCAGGTGTGCAGCAGTGAAGTCACCACCTCCCTCCAGACCACACAAGTCTCACAGGAAGAAGCTGTTATCTCAGGACTTTGTTAACCTTGAAGAGTCCCAGGTTTAAAAAAAAACCAGACTGGAGGCATGGCTCAAATGGAAGAGCACCTGACAAGTCTAACAAGCACAGGATCCCGCATTCAAACCTCAGTACAAAAAAATAAATAAAGCGCCAGGAGCTGGTGGCTCACTCCTGTCATCATGGCTACTCAGGAGGCTGAGATCTGAGGATCTTGGTTCAAAGCTAGCCAGGGCAAGAAAATGCAAGACTCTTAGCTCCAATTAACCACCAGAAAACCAGAAGTGGTGGTATGGCTCAAGTGGTAGAGTGCTCGCCTTGAGCTGAAGAGCAAAGGGACAGTGCCCAGGCCCAGAGTTCAAGCCCCATGACCAACAGAAAACAAACAAAAAGTTCCCAGGATTAACTGTTTACAAAGACGCTCAGCAAGGAGTATGACCTGGCAGCCAGAGCCCTCTGTTCAAACCCTCAGACCCTTAAAGGAAAGGTTCTGTATGGGAAAGACCTAGCACCCAAGGCTTGGGAGGCTCAGCAAGTGCACAACACTGAACCTGAGTCAAAGGCTTGGGACTCTGAAGTAAGAACTCCTCTGGGCAAGCCTCCGCCAGCCCTGGCAGCCAGCTACACCCCACAGCTGTGGCTCAGCCTCTGCCCGAGGGAGGAAGGAGGGGCGGTATGGTGAGGAAATCCCACATTCCAGCCTCCCGGTCAGGATTGCAGTGGGCCTGGTGCACAAAGACCACAGTGATCCCTTCATTTTACAAATAAGGAGCCAAAGACAGCTGGTCTACCTGCCGGGAAGGGGGCGCCACACAAGGGCAGGGCCAGGGACCACTTCCAGGCCCCCACTTCTGGTTCGTCCCTCCTAGAGTGAGCAGGGACAGTGAATGGAACAGGGCACAGGTGCACAGTTGCACACTCTACCACACCCTGGGCCAGTCCAATCCTGTTGTCAACCGTCCACTGTCAGCTAACGGGGCCTCCCTCACAAACCACCTGATACGCGGTCAGGACACCACTGCTCTGCAGGAGTCAAAGAGCCAAGGGGCTCAGCAGCAGCTCCCAGAGCTCACCTGCCAGGAGCTCACCTGCCAGGAGCCCACCTGCCAGGAGCTCACCTGCCAGGAGCTCACCTGCCAGGAGCTCACCTGCCAGGAGCCCACCTGCCAGGAGCCCACCTGCCAGGAGCTCACCTGCCAGGAGCCCACCTGCCAGGAGCTCACCTGCCAGGAGCTCACCTGGGCCGCCCCTCCCGGCCCCCGCGCAGCTGGCCCAGTCTGGGCCTAAGCAAAGCCTCTGTGTCTGTGGAAGCGCGTGCACCGTGTGGCCAGACAGCTCCATGCTAAGGCCACACGCGCGGTCTGCCCAGCCCCCATCCTCGGGGCCGGCTGCCAGCAAACACTGGGATTGGATGCCTTTGGGGGGGGTGTCCCGGGTCATGGGGATGAAGCAGGGGAACCGCACCAGGCTGGGTCGGGCTCCTCCCTCACTGGCTTTTTGTGTGTGAGTGTGGTACTGGGGTAGGACCCCACGTTCTTACCTGACTCTTTCACTCAAGGTTGGCGCTTTAGCACTGGAGCCCCAGCTCCACTTTTGGCTTTTTAGTAGTTAATTGAAGATAAGCCTCATGGAATTCTGTGTTCATGCTGGCTTTGAACTGAGGTATCAGACCTCAGCTTCCTGCCTAGCTAGATCACAGGCATGAGCCACCAGTGCCCGGTTCTGAGCTTTTTCCGGAGGCACTGTGGGCGAATCCAGGGCTCTGCACTTGTCAGTCAGGCGCTCTATCACCAAACCACATCTTTGGGCCCCGCGGGTCCTCAACACCGGCTTACCCCCGCCCAGCAGGCTTCTCACGTCCCTGCTTCCCCACGGGAGGGGAGAGAGCGCAGTCCACCGGGCCGCTCTCCTCACCCTCTCTGGGGCCAGTGCTTGGACCCAGGGGTCGAGCCAGGCCTGTCCCCCTTCTTGCCCAGGGTGGCCGGGGCCGCTCGGGAGCCGCGAGTAGGCTGACCTTCAGGTTGTCCGGGTGCTTGTGGGTCCACGCGAGGAGCATGGCGGCAAAGAGGTCCCCGGTGCCCACGAAGACGGCGTCCACCTTGCGCATCTCCATGCGGATCCGCTGGGTGGCCGTGGAGCCGTCGGGCCTCCCTGAGGACAGGGCAGCAGGTCACTGGCTGTGACTTGCCCCCCAACAGCCGCGGTAGCACGGTGGGCCTGGGGCGACCTCCTTCAGAGTCCTGGACCCCAAACTGCCACATGTGGCCTGAGAGGATGGGAAAGCCTGGAACTGGAGGGGGTGGACCGCTGCCTGGATGTACTCGTGTGTGCACGTGTGCCTGGGCACATACGTGTGTTCACACACACGTGACAGATGCAGAGCAGGGAGGAGACCACAGCTGCAGTGCCCACTAGGGCCAGTGGGTACAACCTGGAGGTCACCATCTTACCACAAGACCCGCTGCCCTTCCTTGCCACTAACATCATTCAGTGAAAAGCAGTCCAGATGGTCTATTTTTGGCCAGTTCTGGACTTGAACTCAGGGCCTGGGCGTAGTCCCTAAGCTTCTTTAACTCAAGACTTTAATGCCCCACCCCTTGGACCGCAGCACCAGCTCCGGCTTATCCTGTGTGTGTGGTACTGAGGAATGGAACCCAGGGCTTCAAGCATGCTGGGCGAGCACTCCACCTCTGAGCCACCTTCCCAGCATCTAGGTGGCTTTTGTGCAATCAAGCTACCCAGCCAAGCGGAAGGCTGCTTCCTGCGGGCGGGGCGCAGGCCCAGCCCCGAGGCCTGGTCCACCTGAGCCCGTCTGTGCTGCCTCCCTGGCCCAGGGCAGGACGGGCCGTCAGGAGCCCGCACGGAGACGACACAACCCTGGCAGCACCAGCACCCCCAGGCCCACCGCAGGGTGCCCTGCAGGACCTGCTCTGACCTCTGACACGACCCCCAACTCCATGAAATTAGCCATCTACTGAGAAAGACACGACTTCCCTTTGCCAAGCCCCAAACCAACCCTGGAGCTCAGAGGTCAGCGGGCTGGGCCGCGGGGCGGGCGCCGGCCCGGGGTGGTACTTACGCATCCTCTGGCTGCCCAGGGCGATCAGGTAGTCACTGCCCCGGGGGGCGGGCAGGTCAGAGCTGGTGATGACCACGGTGTCGGGGCCCATAGCGTGCAGCATGTCCATCACCTGCGGGGGTGCAGGGCCCATCACACCGTGGCCACGCCCCCTCCGCCTCCACAGCTCCCTGTGGCTGGCCTGCGGTCACTCGCCGCGAGGGGGGCTGGGCCAGGCCACCAGACACAGCAGCCCGGGGCAGGCCCGAGACGGGACCGGGGGGAGTACCCGGAAAACCACCCCCGGCCAAGCCCACCCAGGACAACCGAGGCCCCACCTTCTGCTGGGGTCACTGAAACAGTGAAGGTGAAGAAGCCAGGAGCCCCATACCAGCCTGGACAGGCCCACGCAGGTCCCCAAGGGCCCGGAGGACACCTCCTCACAGCAGGGCAGGCCGGCTGTCCAGCCACCACGACAGAGACGACTTCTCTATCAGCTGGCTTTGGCCACCCTCTTGGAAGCCCTTGTCCTTCCTGAAGCCATTCAGAGTAGGCCCCCTAGGTGGGCACTGGGGCCATAGGCCGAGCCCAAGCTGGGACGTGACTCTCCCTCTCTCTCTCCAGCCTCCCCCCACACACAGTGTCACGCACGACATGACATACAGTGGGCCCTAGGATTCTGTGGAGAGACAATGCTGAGCTCCACAGCGCCAGCACACGGGAGGCCTCTGCGGATGCGTGGCTCGGAGGCTGACCCAGCCCCTCAGACGTGACTCAGACAAGGCCACAGCGGAGGGACCATGTCCCACTGTCCGTCGCTACGACGCTGTCCTCCTGGGGGGACTTAGAGCACAGTGCTCGTGGGGACATGTCCCAGCCGCTCAGGACATCACATCAGTGCTGCAGGGATGAGCGGCGCAGACCAAGGCCGCGGGGACGGCGGGGATGGAGTGTCAGCGGTGCCAAAGCAGCTACCGCTGTGCCATGTCCTCGGGTGCCAGCCTCGACTCCCCCCAAACTAGGGAGCAGCTCTCAAAGGTCCCCTTACCACTAGCGCTTCTTCCTGGCTGTGGATCTTTCTGCCGCTCAGCAACCTGGAAGACGGACGAAAGGACACACGGTGAGCCGCTGCCTGGGCCCGGCCGCCTCCCCAGGGAGCCAGCTCAGCCTCCGCCGGCCGTCACAGGGACCCGGGGACCTGGGGGGGGGGGCAGGCGGGGCCCGGGGACGGGGGGGGGCAGGTGGGTAAGAGGGGGTTTAAAGGGAAATGTTGCACAGGACAGGGGTTGGGGAGGCCCACATTGTGGTGAGAAGGGTGAAGAACCGCAGGGCAGAGTCTGCCACCCACACCACAGCACCCAGCACCAGCCAATTGAGCGTGCCACAGAATTCCAAGGACTGTGAATATGTGCCGTTTGCCCAGGAGGCCACCAACGGCTCAGGGTCCCCAAGTTGAGATAGACCCAGTTCAAGGAATCCCAGCTGCCAAGAGGCCAAGAGTCTGGGGCCCGCACGGCGTGCACCTCTCGTGCTGAGCGGGCAGGGCGGCCTCCTGCTCTGCACCCCGTTTCCCAGGGCCTCCCCAGCCGCAGCATGGCAGCTGAGCGGGCAGGGCGGCCTCCTGCTCTGCGCCCCGTTTCCCAGGGCCTCCCCAGCC